TGCATCACACAATATTATGAAAACTTAGCTGAGCGTCAGAACTTGCTTTTCGAGACATTGTTTACACAAAGCACTTTCTCAGAGCCTCTGGGGCAGGGCAGAAACTCAGTAAGTAACAGTGTGCGCCCCACACTGCGCACAATATGCACCTTTCTGTTGCTCAACCCTTAGAAGCAAAACATAGAAACACTCAACATCAGAAGGTCATCATGTTAATTTTAGAAAAAGCTGAACGTTGTTCCAAGATGCAAGTTCCTATTGCTAGCGCTGGTATCGCAGTCACATTTTTCATATTTGCTCCCTTTACTATTGCCTTCCAGGCTCTTTCACACGGCAGACTCTACAAAAGGGAAAAGCAAACTCAGCTAAATGCTCAGCATAGTCAAATGCGCACACCAAAATCCAAACAAGTTTTTTCCTCCTTTTCCATTTGGATTTGTTTTGCTCTTACAGTCCACTAAAACAAACACACCTCACTAAAACAAACAAAGATCCATGCTTCCCATGGCTGAAACAATGTGAAAGTCTTTTTAGGACCGAAGTTGGAGCTTCTCTTGGGAGGAAAGGAAGCAGGTGTCCAACCAAGATGTTTTGTAACTGGCTACAGTTTCATGAAATGCAGGCCCTGGTTCTGTGCAGTGCAGGGGTTGAAGATAAAATGCTTTCCCTAATCCTCATGCATCAAGTGACAGTGCTGCACTAGTATATGCTTGCACAGCTCAAACAGAAGTTTGACACTAGACCAACTCTGCTGCTGGGGAAAAAAAAAAAAAATCTCTCTACCTATAATATATATATATCGAATTTGTTACAGAAAAAAAGCGTCTCCTGCAAGATCAGGATAACGACACACATTTCGGAAGAAAAATCCCAGTGGTGTACAGCAGGCCTTAAATTTGGCACAGAAGAACTTGCAGAGATTAAAACTAGAAAATTGCTAGTGCCCACAGGTATTGGAGGAAGCTGACATGGATCCCAAGTGTTAGCACAGCCTGCCTGGCTAAACTGCATGAAATCTGTGCTCCTGCACCAGAAACTGTTGTCCAGGTTCTGTAAAAAAGAAAAAAAAAAAAAAATAATAAAAGGCGATAACAGTGAAATGAGGTTGGATTTAGCAAGACAGCTGTAATAGGAAAACTCAGCTTACTTGGTAAAACCTACAGTTTATGAGCATTTGGTTTTTGTCCACTTCCTCACATGCCTCTGTCAGCATCTTCAGACAAGATAGTACAAGGCAACAATACCTCAGGGACAGGTCGGGGAAGAAAGAACAAAGAAATAAAAAAAGGACAAGGGCTCAAATTAGAGACAGAATGGAAGGGCAGTACAGCACCATCAAAAAATGAAGGCAGCTTAAGCCTGACGTCCAGTGCTGAGTGCAGGGGCTAAGATAAGGTACCCCCTTACAGCAAACGGCCACAAACATGGTTGTGAACAATGAAAAAACCCCTACGATACGTACTGAGTACCTCTCAAAAGAGACTGAACATTGCACTTCCTTAAGTACATTCTAAAGGAATCACATTCACCCAAAAGAACAACTTTTGTGCCTACAAAGTTGGTATGTTCCAGCTTTAGTTTTGTGAAAACAAAGCAATTGTATGTCAGATTTGACTACCCACAGTGACGTATGTGTAGTCTTCCAGAAGTTCTGAACTACCCAAAATTCTGTAATTCATTGGCTTGTATCTACAAAGTTTTCATTTAACATATGCTTATCTTTCCATTAACTCACACCAACAACGATGTGAGGTTTCTGGATTTGTTTTTCAAATGTGATAAAAAGTATGGTTTCAGGAAGGCAACTTTATTCATTGTTTCAGGAGGTGTATTCCTACGGGAGAGATGCTCATTTTGCTACTCTGGCCCTTCTGCTTTGGGAACATCTACAAAACCCTTTATTCTTTGGGAAGATCTTTGGAATTGCTGGGGAAAAAGAAAACATCATGTTATATTACGAAGGTCAAAATTAACACACTGGGCAAAGACACTGAAAAACTATCTACCGTTTAAAGCCTATCCTCATGGAATAGCGTTGAGTTAGAACAGAAAAACAGGAATTCAACTGGCTGTACAACTCAACACATATTACTGATGTCTGTAACTATTTGTCTACAAGTCATGTTTAGTCCAGAAGCTGCTTGCCTTTTTTTTTTTTTAACAAAAAAGAACACAAAGGAAAGTACAGACTCAAAAAGTTACTTGAAGAGAACAAAATCACTTAAGTAATTTTTCATCAGCTTTTTTCCACCCCAAAAGTCTATTTTGATGTTTGTTACAGTATTTACATGGTGAAATTACTACCAGTTTGACTGTAGATTTAACTTCAAAACCAGGAAAAATGAAATTGCATGTTTTACAGGGGATATTTCAGTTTACCAAGAGCAAATGAACTTTTCAAAAATTCAATATATGAAATTCTGAGACAACACTTGAAGATTTGCAAGCTACAGTAACCGAACTGTAAAGAAAGAAAACCTTTCCCTTCTTAACCACAAATGACCCACTTTAATGTCCTAAATAGTACAAAAGGAAAAACAACTTTTTATGTTCACAAAACATAATTTTTTCCCCTTAGTAAATTGTTTTCACATATATATTACTGAAGTAGATAAAAGTTAGCTAGATAAAAAAAGATATGAAGGACAGTACACTCACTGCTCAATTAGCCAGTTTAATTTCCTCTAGTACTTCATTATGCAATAATGCTTTATTCAGTCTCAAAATGATTAACTGGGAGGGAAACATTAAAATTCTTACTGGATCTACTTAGTAACAACAGTTAGCTTACAGATGAACACACTGGGGGAGAGGGATGGGAAATTCTTACTGTAAAATTTAATTCCACTTCAAATAAACTAAGCAAATTCCATTAAGCAAAAGAACTTAGAAGTCTGCAAAGGCTATTTTCAAAAAGCAGATCCTGTCAACCTCATCCAAACAGGACAAAAATTGTTCAAAGGTGCATGCTCATAGAGGCTGCTAAACAAATCAGAACTATTTCTCTTATAACGATGCATTATTTTAACCCAAGGAGTCTGATTTTATAAATTAGGCTAACATGCAGATCAATTACTTTATTACAGTACTCCGTATTTTGAGTAAAATGGATTATTTAGGAGAAAAATCTTTGTGATATTTTGCTTAAGAATGCTTTTAAATGTTTCCTGACATTCGTAATTTCCTCTGAGAAGCTGATTAAGTGTTCTTTGTGAACAGTATTTTAAATGCAGATTATTTTTGAAGTGCAAAAGCTACCTGCAATGTATTTACTGGAGAGATTAACAAAAACAACGCAGTGTTTGGCAGTGCAAAGACAGCTGCAGCATTCTAAATCACCCCGTTGAAAACATTTATTTTGATCAAACCCCTTTTTATTCAACAGGCTGTGAAAGTGATTAAAAATAAACTCCCCAATATTCCATATCATGAATTTTTCATACCATTTCCTCTTAATCCAAGTTAGAAGTATTACCTCAGGTAAGCCTGGATTTAGTAATCAAACTATAGATTTACAAATGGTTTTACTTAGAAAGTGTAAACATAAAATCATACTTTAAAAAAAAAAAAAAAGCTACATATCCAGATAGTGCGTTTTATAAATATTCAGGCATACATTCTGAATTACATAAAAATAAACATGAAGATAAATCTAACTTGCAAACTGAAATTTGCAGCTGACTAATTGGAGTGAGTCCAGAGGAGGTCACGAAGATGATCAGGGGGCTGGAGCACCTCTGCTATGAGGACAGACTGAGAGAGTTGGGCTTGTTCAGCCTGGAGAAGAAAAGGCTCCGGGGAGCCCTTATAGCAGCTTCCAGTACCGGAAAGGGCCTACAGGGAAGCTGGGGG